AACCCCTAGCTACAAGGAACTTGACACTTGGTGGCCATCACTGGCCTTCCGTGACGAGGAAACTAGAATCTCATAAAGATGAGCAGCGGCACCCAGGCTACACTTTTTCACAGGAAAACCAAGGGAAGCAAAAGGCAAGCGAAATACGCCGGCGTCGGTCCTCAAGTGTTTTAGGCGCATGTGCGGGTCCAAACCAAACTCACTGCCATTGAGTTGGTTCCAATAGAGAGACCTTGTAAGACAGGGCAGAATGCTCTGGTGGGGTTCCCAAGCTGTAATTCTGTATTGGAGTAGAAGTCCTTGTCTAATGCCCTTAGAGTGGCCGGTGTTTCCAAACTACCGGCTGTGTGGTTGGCAGCCCAAGGGTAACCGCTAGGGCTCCTTCGTGTGTATTTCTCTGAGGCGGTTTACTATCGCCCCGGGAGCAAGGAGGATGCAGCTCACATGTATGTGAGACATGAGCCCCATCGTCTTGTGGGACCTTCAGGTCCATGCTCATTCAGCATCTCCAGGTGACAAGGCGGACCCGCACCACAGTGTTTCCATGTCATCTTTATGGCGGGGGGTGTGTGTGTTTCCTGGTGAGCCTTGTAAATATTTATAGACTTAGAAACCCTATGAGGGGCAGTTCTACTGCGTCCTACAGGGGCCCTATGCGCTGGACTCAACTCAAGAGCATTGGGTTAATCTTTATGGATTGACCTGCCGTCCAGGGCATCCTACCGCAGAGCTTTTGCGTGAGTTAAGACAACCTCCAGTCTTTCCGAGCTCTGAAGGGTGTACATGAACATCTGCATGGCTATCTGGACATCGACTGAGATTCAGCTCACAGACTCCCACTGCCTGCTGAACTGCCAAGGGTGGAGCTGCTGTAACTTTAACACTTCCTCTGGTCAGAGGGACAGGCCCCCAGACGGTCCACGCTTTGATCGCAGTCACGATGGTGAAGTGGTAGTGCCTCAAGACGGCTCTCCTATCTGTGTCTTTGTAGTTCCCACCAAGTGATTGGGCAAGACCGTGCAAACAGGGCATTGTACAGGGTGCTGAGGGAGGGACTGGTCTGCCTCACCACTCCTCTGAGTCAACGAGAGCCCTGGGGGCTTAGTGGGCAGCACACTGGGCTGCTAACTCTCCCAGGTCAGCAGTTGGAAGCCATCAGCTGCTCCCCGGGAGAGAGATGAGGCTTTCTCTTCCTGGAAAGGGCTATAGTCCTGGAAACCCACGGGGGCCGTTCTACCCTGTCCTATAGGTTCACGATGAGTCAGAATTGACTCGATGGCAGTGAGTTTTGGGGTTTTGGGGGCGGGGGGACATACAAGAGCCATCCAAGAAGCAGAAAGAAAGAAAATCCCGTGACCACCAAGAAAGAAGCTCCCTGTCTGAATGGCGGG